AGATGAGAGCTTCGTTATAATCAACCGGACAATGTCGCGTCCGGCAAGCTTTGCCGATTTCTTTCCCAGCGCGCCCTCGGTGATCGCGGAGCGAAGGAAGCAGCAAAAGGCGCGGTCTTCGGCCGAACAGAATACTCCGAAGAAAGAGAAAGATGTTCCGACAGAGGCACCTGTCGAGTCTCAAAATGCACCAACTGCAACAAGTGCAACAAGTGCAACAACTCCCGCTGATGTACCGGCGGTGACTGCAAACGGCCGTATATCACCGCCGCCTCCTCCACCTCCACCACCTCCACCTCCACCACCACCTCCACCAGCTTCATCAATACCTCCACCACCACCGCCTCCTCCACCTCCACCACCACCACCTTCAACATCTTCTCCTCCCCCACCACCTCCACCACCACCTCCTCCTCCACCATCAGAGGAGACCAAGGACTCGACTCCGCAACGTATTCCTACCCCTGCCCAAGATGCTTTCGAAATGCGCCAGGCAAAACTGGCCGAATGGAAAGCAAAGCGGCCGGAACTGAATCATCAACTCCCGCCCACACCCAAAGCAACACCACCCACCAAACCGGATGCATCGAAACCGGAGCCTGGTAGAAGGAACTACCGGATTATGTATGATCCAGAGAAAGACAAGACCCAGTCGAGAGGCAAGAAGCCGATATATAGATTCGATGGTGACGGCGTAAGAAGGCCAAAGTTTGTAGTGCGTCTCTAACCGGCTTGTAGGTCCCAGACTCTGAAATTCGAGATCCAAGGCCGCTGCGGCGCAACTACGAAAAAGGACCCGATCGCGGCAATCGACGCCTTCGAAGCGCTCTGTATGCTCTGGACTGGCCTTACGACGAAAATACCATCGGAACTGGACCTCCAAATCAAATCCTGATATCCGGACTTTCGCCCTTGTCCAAAGCTAGTGACGTTGGAATCCTTTTCAAGATGTTTGGCGAAATCCAGGATTGTCAGCTGAAGGTGGATCCTTCTTCCGGAGCTTCTCTCGGACTTTGCGTTATTCGATACAAAGATCGGCGGCATGAAAAGTTCTCATCGATACAGAGCGCAAAAATGGCCATACAACGGGGAAATGGGATGAAGGTCGGAATGGATTCTGTCAGGGTGGAGTTGGATACCGACGGTGTTCGAAGCAAGAGGGCGGTCGAGAAGCGCCTTGGACAGCAACGGAAGGATCTAGAAGCGGCGGAACGACGGGCGGCAATGGCAAGGTTAGAGCAGAGGCAGAAGGAAGGAGCTGTACCGACCGCGCCACGGAGTCACCGAGAAAGGGACCGCGCCATTGAACAGGCAAAGGCGATTGCAGCGAAAGCGAAAACGCGCCTACCGCCCTTGGGACCTAGAGCGGAGGAAATACAGTATCCGTCCAGGGACATGGTGGATTATATCGGTGATAGGCCATTCATATTCATATCGGCAAGCTGCCTCCCGGTCGACGAGACATACTGGGGACATCTGCGGGGGAAATTCAAGCCATGGGAGTGGACGAAGATCGATTATGACGACAATGGCTATTACATGATTTTCAGAGATGCAAGGGAAGCCTACCGATGTGCGAAGGAAGCGAGTCCCAGCTTCTTCAAGTTTCAGCTGGAGCTCCAGGTGCATGAGAACGCATATGAGAAGCTGAGGGATTCTCGGAGGCCGCCCGCCCCATCACGGACACCTGTGGCAGCGCCGGAGAAGGATGGTATGGAGACCGTGAATGAGGTTGTTGAATCCATTCTCGAGGAACTGAAGGCTGCGTTATTGCGCGACACCCGAAAGCGAATCACCGCACCAACTCTGTACGACAAGCTGGATCCAAAGAAATTAGAAAGCAGCAAACCAGCAGAGCCAGAGCCAAAGCCAGAGCAACCTGTTGTTGTAGAGACGTCGATAGCACCCGCGGTTCACAAGGTTGAAAACACAGCAACGGATAAGAACCCATACGCCTCCTTACCACGGTTCAAGAAACGCGCTCCAACAAAAACGACAACTCCGAAATCTGCCAAATCCAGCCGTGCTCTTCGCAGGAATGAAGCTAGGCCGCTACATCACCGTCTCTATGATTATCGCTCCGATGATGGTTCTGATGATGATTCGACGGCCATGGACACCAGGCCGCAGAGTCGGAGGATGTCGACAGAGACGCCTAGCGATGAGTCTCGAATGGAGACGCCTAATCCTGTCGATGATCGGTCAAGAGGCGGGAGCAAGTTTGTTGATATTCCTGCTCCCGCGCCAACAAAGGAAAGCCGATTCGACAAGCTTCCAGAAGATTATGGGCGTGATGAGAAGCGGGCGGACCAGGCCGAGGAGGAAGATGAAATCGACAATCTCATCCTGGACCTAATGGGCGACAAAGAAGAAGAGAAGATTAAGGTTGAAGACGTCGAGGTGAAACCAGACACGGCTGATACCCCACCTGTGACGGAACTGAAAGAAGCAATTGTCTTCAAAGAGGAGGTGAAACCACCAGTGACGCCGATGGACTTTGAACTTGAGAAGCCTAAGGAGGCCAAGATCACGAAGAAGCGGAAGTTTGAAGAGCCAGCCGATGAGAAGCCAACACCCCTCCTCTCCTCGCCAGAGCGGAAAAGAAGGAAGACTGTCGAGGATCGATCTTGGATATCGTCAACGCCGAACGCACCGATGCCGACATTCACTGATGATGAGGACGTTATTCTGGATCTTGATGGATGGCAAGACCTTATCAAGGATGATGAGGATCTACAGATGTTGAGAGAGGCTTTGGAAGGCACGGAAGCTGCTGATCTTGGAAATGCCTATTATTGGGCTTGTCGTGAGAAGGATTACAAGTATCAGAACAACAACGGCATACCTGGTAAGCAAAGTCAATTGTTTATCCTTAATCATCCGCTAATTTTTCCGTAGGTCCCACAAAGTCTGTGCCCAAGATAGAAGGATACTACAAGCCAAACTCCACCGGATGTTCACGGACAGAAGGTGTCAAACGCATTCCGGAGCTGGAGAAATCCCAATATCTTCCTCATCGATTGAAGGTCGCTGCCAATCGCGCAAAAGCTGCTGCTGCTGCTGCATCCGAAGGCGCCAACAAGGACAAGGCATCGACGACAAATCCAGTACCGAAGACCACCTCCACATCCCGATCAAACAGAGTCAACAATCGGCGTCTTGCAGCCGACATCAATGCTCAGAAACAGATGCTTTCGAGTGATGCTGATGTACTTCGCTTCAATCAGCTTAAGAAGAGAAAGAAGCCAGTCCGCTTCGCTCGCTCGGCTATCCATAACTGGGGTCTATACGCTATGGAGAGCATCTCGGCTGGCGACATGATTATCGAGTATGTGGGCGAAATCGTACGGCAGCAGGTTGCGGACATGAGGGAAAAGCGGTACCTCAAGTCTGGTATAGGCAGCAGTTACCTGTTCCGTATCGACGAGAATACTGTGATCGACGCCACCAAGAAAGGAGGAATTGCTCGTTTCATCAACCATTCATGTACGCCCAACTGTACCGCAAAGATCATCAAGGTCGAAGGTAGCAAACGTATCGTCATTTACGCGCTACGAGACATCTCGGAGAGTAAGCAAGATTGTTCCCTTTTTATTCTATTTTTTACTAACGCTGTCTCCAGACGAAGAATTGACGTACGATTACAAGTTCGAACGAGAGTTGGATAGCGACGAGCGGATACCTTGTCTGTGTGGTTCCAGCGGTTGCAAGGGCTTCCTCAACTGATTTTTGCTCTTTTTTTTTTCTTCTTTGGCAATAATCATCATCATCTGAGCACTAGTTTTTCTCTTTTCAACACACATTTGCATATTGGGTTTGAGGTGGCGCCCATTCTATCCTGGCATGGCATCGTTTTATTTTGTAAAGCGTGAGTGATGCATTAATGTATCTTGTATCATCTTTCATTTGTTTCTGTGAAGAATCTTTAGACGTTTGCAGGAGTTATTCATTGTTTCATTTTTTCCCTTTGCGTTTTTTTCCATTTTGGGAGCCATCGTTACCTCATTCCTTTCCCAGGACAGTGGGATACTGGGACAGCATATGCCATCATGTTCTTGTATGGTTTTGATTGCGACCAGATCTATTTCCGCTTGCTTTGTTTATAATACGAGTTCATCATCCCCATTCGTTCTTGCTTGGTCAGATTTGTTATCCATGTTTGTACGTTTTCTTGTTTTGTAGAGCATTTATATGTTACGGGAAACAAAATGGTCCGGCCGGCGCTATTAATGGTTTCTTTTCCCTTTTCTCTTTTTTCTTTGTCGGGTCCATTTTCGCTTCAATTATCACCAGAGTCGTTTTTGGGCTCGATCGCTTTTTTTCTGCTAGTTTTTGGGGAGTCTTTTACTTCTTGCGAGCTGATGTTGCCATTTAACGTATTTTTAGTAGTAGCACGGATAGTGGGGGTTCATTTTACCAGCAAGGCGTTCGGTTTTGCTTTCCTATGTAATGGGGGCTGCTTGTCTTTCATCAAGACTCTTTGCGGATTTTCCGGACGACAGGATACCACAGGTCGCTATTAGTAGGCATGATTGAAGGAAGGGAAGCTTACTTAGGCACAAGAGGAAATGTAAAATAAGGCTTTCTTTTCTGTAAAAAGTGTTTGTAATGGGACTTTGCAATAGACATGGGTTTATTTATTTGTTATTGATGATTTTATTCCTCTTCCTTGTGCTTGTCTGACTCTCCTAACTGATTTATGGCAGCAGGTCCTGCACCCCGTGGGATATTCGGAAACCTCTACGGTTGTTTCCCCGGTCCTATAAGTTGCGCTTGATTGTTTACAGCATGGCCCTTCTTCTTCACGTCCGGATACAGGCACCGTGGTAATCAGAGCTGGATAAGTGGTAGCATACCTGCTGAATGGATCACGTTGAACATTGACTACTAGTGGGTCTATATCACCATTCCGTCATTGTTGCGACCCTTATGATTCAGTTTCCCTCAGGGCTCAATGACGTTTCGAAGATGAACTCCATCTACTCACCTTACCTCACCAACCTCACGATATAACAGCTCCGAAGCGCCACCTTCTACTCCTCTCTCATTACTTCTCTCTGCTCTTCAGCTCCAATACCTCAACCACTCAATTCAGCAAAGCACTTTTTCACCACGAAACAAAAACAACCTACTTCTTTTCACCATGTCATTCCCAGCATCCTCCGGTGGTGACGACAGCAACGAGTCCAAGTACAACGAGCACGGCCTGCTCCGTAACCGCTATGCCCCTCCAGCCGAAGAGATGGTCGCCGGCGCCGGAATCGACCAGATGACGACCCACTTCAAACGTGAGAACGGAAGATCCAAGTACGTTTCTCCCGCCGAGAAGATGGTGGGCTCCATTGCCGATGGCAGCATCCATGGAAACACTGATACCACGGGAAGATTAGTAAGTGATGTCCCCAGTCTATGCCTTCCCTCCAATTAAAGCCTCCTTTCTTTTCTCTTTGCCCATTTTCTCTAACCCAAGCTTAGTCCGCGAGAGGATTCGGGACTGACGGCCGTGGAACGCCCTATGCCAGCTCCTTGAGCGAGTTCAAGCGTACCGACCATGAGGATGTCGTGAGAGACCGTCAGTCGGAGGCTGCGGCTCCAGTCAGCGCACTCGGAAAGGTCTGGAATCAGTACGTTTCTGGAAGAACTACCAAGGGAATGGAGCCGGAAAATGCCACCTCCGTCAGCTACAGCCAGCGCAAGAACGACACGGCAAAGCCAGAGTAGCAGACGGCTCCCTATTACTATTGTCGGGTTGGGGATTGTTTGAAGTTTAGCGTTTATGAATTTTCTTCTATTTTTATTGTTGCCGCTGCCAGTACTGCTCGTTTGTGTGATTCTCGTTGGTGTTTTTGGTCGATTTGTTAATCTTAAGCTTGTCAATTGGTTTGTGAGGGTGTCTGGAGTGCTGTAGGTAATACTTGGAAACTAATACTTGTGGTGTTGTTCTGTCTTAATGTCTATTCCGTCATTCAACTTTTTTTTTGCGTTTTAGACCATCATCCGAAGGTATCTACTTTGTACTTAAATATACTATCTGTATCATTTACTTTTTACATATACAGATATTGTCTTTCAACAAAGTCCTCCAAAATTCTACATAGAAACGATATGTAGGTGTCGTCCATAAGTGATAGAACACAGGCCGCTCAGGTCCGTATTGCAGGTCGAGATTTTGTGCAAATGGAGCAGTGCTCTCACTGGCATTGAATCTCTCAATCTCGATCAATCGAAAGGCGTTCCAGAATCTCCTTGCAACCACCACGTCTTCAACCTCAAGCCTAACATCTTCAATGGACGAACCCTCGTCCTCCAGCTCCAACTTGAAATAATCGTCGACAAAGCCTTCAGATAGCATACTTCTATTCTTGAGTCGTTTTTCGAGGGGAGTATCATATTCTTCAGGCTTGGCTTTGTTGAACATTCTGACTAGGGTATCCAAATTCTTTCTCCACTGCATTGGAGGAAGTTCGTATGGCTTTTTACTGAACCCTTTGCAGAAGTATTGTGCAGTGCATGTGTCATCTAAGCTGCGGTGAAACTTGATGTACCGAACAATATGGCCAGCCAGGTTCTTTACGTCTTCGAATTCCGGATCATCGTTACAGTGCCTGGAGAGCCATCGCTCTGCAAACTCCCGACTGGCAAGCTTCCTAGAAGCTATGGCTTTGATTCGATGACAGACGCGGTAAAGATTGAGGTATGTGACCGGGTTGTCGACCTCGACGAGGATCGCGTGAATCAGTTCGTTGGGGAGCTTGAGCAATGGAAAGAACGGTGTTGCCGGCGGTGCCTGTGAAGAAGAGGTACATGTCAGACTTGATGTTGAGCAAGAAAGGAAACTTACTTACTTGATTGTCGCCCATTTCGATGGAAGATACTGAGCAGGTCATTTGGTATTTGTGAAGTACTTCCCCTACAACTGTGAGTGCAGCTTTCCGATGGGACCTGCTCACTGCTGAATAGATGATCTTTTGGGGACAGTTGGATGCATACCTGTCTTTTCCGGTACATTTTCGAAGAATGTTCACAAGCGTCATGTCCACGGAGTTTGCTAACGTCGAACAGAGCGCAAAATCTGATAAAACATACAAAATCTTGCTTCTGAGTCCAGTCACATACGGCCATAGATTGAATAACATACGGGATCCCGTTCGCTCTCCCATAGTCAAGCTTCTAGTCGCCGAGTTAGTACTGCGGTGGGTGACCACGCGGGAATCCTTGGTGCTGTATGTATGTTTTGTACTTTTGACGGAGAATCTCTTAACTGAATGATGTTTTTAAAGTTGACGTTCTAGCACATACGGCCATAGATTGAAGAATATACGGGATCCCGTCCGCTCTCCCATAGTCAAGCTTCTAATCGCCAAGTTAGTACTGCGGTGGGTGACCACGCGGGAATCCTTGGTGCTGTATGTTTTGCACTTTTGACGTCAACTCGAAGGAAGAGCTCAAGCTTTTTGTTCAAGAGATCCCAGACCTCTCACATCATACATTAAGTACTAGGCTTCTTAATTCCCTTCATAAACAACGCTGGTAAACACGATGGAGGTTGTGATATGTGACCGGATTGTCAACGTCGATGAGTATCTCATGGATAAGCTCATTGGGGAGCTTGAGTAGTGGGAAGAAGGTGGTAACTGCCGAGTATGATATACATACGTACATCCCTGGTGAGTATGTACTAGGTTCTGTACTGATGAACGGAGTAGACTAACCTGATCCTGTTGCTCGGTCATGAGAGCGGTATGTACTGGGTGTGCCATCCGGTGCGCGGTGTCTGTGGATTGAAAACAATACATCTTGGATGGCTCTGGCTGCTATCGTGTTGAGTGATTGAGTGTCTGGAGAGGTCGCGACACGTCATGCATAGTATACATCATTGCAGTACGATACCTACTTAGTAGTTTATGACGTATCTCAAAATAAGCCCCTACATAAGCTCATAGAAAGGCCTGGGTTCTTCGCCAGCATGCATCGAAATATTTCATGCATAACGGCTGGCTGAATGGTTAATTCATTCGCCACGATGGTTGCCTACCTTGATTTGGCTTGGTGTTGCTTTCACGATTACATAAATGCTGACATTAGAATGACCTGTTTGAAGTGGCTGCCGACGGTCAAAATTCGCCTAGTTAAACACAACTGAAACAAACTCTACTTCTAGACATTATGATATGATTGTAGTCAAGCCCACTATATAAGGCGCCTATTCCCCGATGATGCCATGGATATTCGCAAACGCTCATTAAGTAACCAACGGAAGATAAAAGGTATAGTTCCCAAATGTATAATGACAAAAAGCTCACAAATTAAGGCACCCCTTCGGATTACCGACTCTTGATTCAACTCAAGAAGACATCTTCATCCAGCAATTCCTCTACTGTCTCCGTCATAAAGGAGAGTAGCAGCATCTTGGAGACACCCAGAACATCATCGTAACTACCTAGATGAATACCAGCCGGCAACTCTTAACCGTTTCCCATGGGTCTGAAGAAAAATCTGCTCTCCTCCACCGGAATCGCCCTCTACGGTAAACTTGTGGGACTCTGGGTTTCTCCTGCAGGATACGGACGCCATTCGATATTTGCAATTACCGCTCCAGACCCACGAGACACGCTGTACGGAACCTCGATGATGGTTCCTGACGCTGGCTCGATCCACAGCAAATGGGTGCCCACTCAATTGCCGTTTATCTCTCAGCTCCAGAGTATGGCTGTGCCTTTCGATAGCGACAGTGGACGTAGGAGGCTACTCGGGCTGGAACTTCTTTTCGTCGAATAGCGGTGGGCGAAGCCGATCTTGCAGGAACTGCGGCACCAATGTCGTAGGTATAGTATCATCCATCTCGATCCAGTATCCTCTGTCACCCTGTGCATAAGCTCGTATGACTACTGACTTGATCCTAGGTATCATTAGAGATGCTTCAGAGTGGAAAGGACACACATACCCAGCCAACTCCAAGGTATCCAAAACAAAAACCATCGCCGCCTCGGTCTCGAAGCTTGTCTTTGCCACCCGTGGGTTGTGGAAGATGATGCTTGCGCGGGAGAGGGTCATTCTAGCCTTTGCCTGGGCCTTCTTCTCTTTCTGTGCATACCTCCTCGACCTACGGCTCACAGTCGCGCGAGACGGTAGAACCAGCTGTGGAGGTTCTTTAGTGATGGGGCATTGGGCCAGGTTTGGCGAGATGGATGGTGTGGTTGAGGAGGTCGGTGGTGCCGTTGGGGGTGCCTCGATGTTGGCTCCCTTCTGGTTGTTCCATTTGCTGGGTGAGGAAGGAAAGGACAGAAGTTTCGAAAGGCTTGAAGGTAGATGGTCTGTTTCTTCTCGTCTTCTTCTTGACCTTGTGAATGCCGGTATGGTAACTGGTATGGCGGGGTACCGGGTTCGGTGATCGGGTGAATAAAATGAGGTTGGTGGAAGGATATCGTGACTTTTGGTCTGTGAATTGTAGTATGCTGGCCAATTTGACGAAAATTCGAGAAGTGTTTGCTATGCGGGGAGGGCTGGGCCAGATGTATCAAATCCGAAAATATCGTACCGAGCGGAGAATGGATGATAGTATACAGCAGCAGCATCTCCGATGACGAAAGCACGCGAGCAATTAAACATTTCCTACGGTCTCACAAGGTTTGGGCGACTTCATATATCTCCATGGAAGCGGATTCAAGGCGAACCAAAGAAGGGCCACGAAACTCTAAACTTTTCCAGATCACGAAATGGAAGGAAGGACAAGACGGAAAGCAGTGATATTCACGGCTTTGTATGTACCAATGCATTGCAAATAAAGTAACCAAGGGGATGAGAGGTAGAGAAGAGCAAGGTCGCGGCTCACACACGATCGATCACCGTCTACCTTCGTTTGTATTGGCACGTACGGTCTGTCGATATCATGATATATCATCAACTTTGATCACCACACGGACCGATACTACAGACTGAAATGGATTGGATCGACCCGTGCTACGAGAAGTAAAAGAACAAGAAGAGAGCAGCTGAACAGAGAGAGCCACACGTTGACTTCAGTTTATTCAATCGGACCGACAAGTTCGAACTCCATAGTACGTACTTGGAGCCAAGTTGAACTCGCAACTCTCAGATAAAGTCACGATGAAGTGAATCTATTTCACACAGGAAAACGCACGAGGAGTTTGAAGCATACAAACACTCAAAGGAAGGACAAGTTGAACTCGCAACACTCAGATGAAGCTACAATGAAGTGAGCCTAACTATATCACACGTGCACACAGGAGGACTCACGAAGAGAAGAAGCATATAAACACTGATCTGACAAAAGAGAAGATCTTGCAATCAGGCAGCCGTACGACTATGCAAGCATCTAGGTTTACGTAGACAACTGTGCTACGAACCTCACCGTCCACACTCTTTAAAGACAGAGACAGAAGGTCGCATCACGATTACATTCAGAATCAAAGAGATCAGAAACTACACGGTACGTTCAGATTTATCAACCATTATTGCTATTGCATGCACGTATGAGGACCGGACTCGGATGCTACTAGTATCTCCATACTTACATACATACGAAACACGAGAAGTCTGATAAGCCTTCAGATGCACGCAGGTGGAATAAGATTCTACCACGCATATCTGCTCTACGAGTAGTACTTAGTACCTACCTATGGCCCACCCGTACTGTCAGTCCACATCAACCCGAGAAACAAGCCTGAGAGTTGGCCACGCATCAAAGGGGATGATATAACTGAATTGAAGAAGAACGTCAGCATACAAAAGAGCCCAGATCCGACGCCCGAGAACGCTCGCACGTTTGACAACTTGAGCTCATA